ATCTATCTGTCTGTCTGTCTGTCTGTCTGTCTGTCTGTCTGTCTGTCTGTATGTCTGTCTGTCTACATGTCTGTCTGTCTGTCTGTCTGTCTATCTGTCTGTCTGTCTATATGTCTGTCTGTCTGTCTGTCTGTCTGTCTATCTGTCTGTCTGTCTGTCTGTCTGTCTGTCTGTCTATCCGTCCGTCCGTCCGTCCGTCTTTTCACATTTAGAGATTTATGACCCAACATGAAGCACTTTAACAAAGAGAATTTTTATTCAATACATACCATTTAAGGAACGCACAATACATACACATTATAATAGATCATTCATAAGAAATACTGAAAACAGAAGGAGAACTGCGATTCTAACTGGTAACATGATATGACGACTCCTGTCTGCTGCCAGTTCATCTGGTCCCGCTGTAGTACTGGCTTCAATGACATTATACATCTGTACACGTGTCTTTCATATCTCATAATGCATCAAAGACTGAGGTCTGTTGTACCAGCACTGTGTGTGTAAGTCTAGAGGTGAAGTAAAGACAAATCTGGACCAATGTCCCGACAATAAATCCTAGAAGCCAAAACACAGAGTGAATTTGCTTTCGTAGTCTCTGAAACAATGGCAAAAGTAAATCAGAAAATGAAGGCATTCACTTTTAAGTAAACCACTGGTTACTTAAGCCAAGGCAGTGATCCAATGCTGCTGCCCAGATTCCCATTGCAACATTCAGTATTTTCAGTCATTTGAAAACACGTCCTCTCTCTTCGTTTGTTTTATCGTTAAAGGTGAAATGTGTCATTTCTGCACCATTAGCAGCCATGAGTGTTTTTTAGGATGTTCTGGGTGGATGCTCAAAATTATGATATTGCTCAATATTATGACATTATAATAGTCTTAATTATGACTTGGTAACAAAAAGTCAAAATTAGATCTAAAGTCATAATTGTGACAAAAACAATGACATCAAAAGTCAAAATTGTAAAATTATGAGATAACCAGTAGAACGTATGAGTCATATACAAGTACAAAAGAGATTATGACAAACAATTATGACATGAAAAGTTGATGAAAGAATGAGATAAAAAGTCATTTATGACAAAAAGTCAAAATTATGAGATAACCAGTAGAACGTATGAGTCATATACAAATACAAAAGAGATTATGACAAACAATTATGACATGAAAAGTTGATGAAAGAATAATGAGATAAAAAGTCATTTATGACAAAAAGTCAAAATTATGAGATAAACAGTTGGAATTTTGAGATAAAAAGTCATAAATATTAGAAAACAGTTGAAATTGAAAGCAATTATGACATCAAAAGTGTAAAGTGACAAAATGTCAAACTTATGAGATAAAAAGTCATAATTATCTTATAATTTTGACTTTTTATGTCATAATTTTGATTAATTTTGTATCATACTAATGACTTAGTATGTCATAATTATGACTTTACTCAAAATTTCACTTTAATCACAAAACTTTTTGTCATCATTTCTATTTTTCCACTTTTTATATCATAATTATCATTTTTATGTTCATATGTGCTAAAAATGGGCTTTCATAGGGAAAGGTAATCGCACACCTCTCAAAGCAAAGCATTGTGAGGCCTATTTCATGTTTGTAGCATAAAGAGTTGTTGTCTGGGTAAATGCATGAGGTCAAAGGTCCTACTTATAGTTCGGCATATTAAGTTGAGAAACAAGTTTTAAACGACACACTCCACCTTAAAGGATCTGGTTATTTCATTACCGCCCCACGAGGTCACGCCACAATGTTAATGACATAAAAGGCATTTGATTGTCCTGTCTTGAGTTTATTGAGGGACATTCTCCATTGGACAATTACTCTCTTTCCATCAAGAGGATAAATAAACTGACAGATGCATCATAAATTTTGTGCGTTAAAACAGCTTCATCTCAACTCGTCAGCGTTTTAAGGTAGTATTTCACACAAAAATGATTATTCTGTGATTATTTAAACACCCTCATGTCATAGCAAGAAGATTTTTTTTACACATTGTCTCTTTTTTTAGGGGACAAAATAACAGCATACGGGTTTGGAATGACCTGGATGAGGGTGAGTACATAATGACTGAATGTTTATTTTTGGGTGAACTTTCGCTTTAACATGGGAGGAAATCTGATGTGAAGTGAATTCACTCCTTTCAATGAACATTAGCTTTCATGTGTGGCATTATCACACTGTAAACTATTGCACTTAACAAATTACTCTTCAGAATGATTTATTCAGTCAAAGCTGATTTTTAAATTAAATAACCGTGACAAGAATGATTCTCTTTTTTCCTCTCAAAATCTTCAGCACAGTTATTGAGAGAATATTTTCACATCATGCCATAAAATATGTATCGCTATAAATTGAGAAAAATCACCTTCTTGGCCTCCATCCATTCAATACATTCTGTTATGCATATAAACCTAATATTAGTTCATTTGTATTCTAGACTTTGTAATTGAAACACTTTTAAAAATCATCTTTGCCTGACATCATCTTTCGCAGGAACTTGATGCATTTCAAAGTGCATTTCATCAGATATCCCTGCATAATCCCAAAGATAATTTAAGACTATAGTATCTCAGAGTTTCATAAAACAAAGTTTGTGATCATTTTCATTATGGTAATCTGTTTTAAAAAGTTAAATCTGTTATCGAACTACCTTCTGTCTCCCATCTGCCATTTTAATGCAGATGCAGATAGATGTGATATATATATATATATATATATATATATATATATATATATATATATATATATATTTTTTTATTGAGA